GTATTTTATATCCTAAAGCGATCCAAGCTGTTTTTCGTTTTATAGCTGTGGTACATAAGTGTTGAATATCATTGCTTTAAAAAATCTTCATGCAGTTAAGTTGCATAAGTATAAGAGTTTAATGTTCCAAACAGATGTCATACTTGACACCTTTTTCCTAGCAATCACAGAAATATAGCAATTTTCAGTCAACTATTTCAGTATATGTACCATATTAGTTTACGTCTTTATCAGTATGTCTACCAGCTCTACACATTTTGTAAACTGTTCCGCCTGGTTTTTTTACTAGTATGTATTTGTGTGATGAGTTCGTTATGTATCAGATTCATCATTTCAGTCAGATTTTTATTTCCAAAAATTGAATTTTAAAAATATAATTCTTTAGGATTAGATCTGATCTGTTTATTTCCCTGTTGTTAATAGTTTTAATTCCATGTCTTTATTGCTATGTGTTTGTAATGAAAAACCGAGCGGTTTCTAGGTTCTAGTAGTCTATAAAGATGCTGGTATTTGCATTCTTAGTCGTACTTTTTTGTAAAGAATATGTTAGTCTATAATACCTGATATTTAGACAGAAAAATAACTGTCCAATTCAATAGTCTACTTTGTTTGGTCTCTGTATACTAACAGAAAAAAATAACTTTTTTCTTTTCACCTCAGTTTTTCATATGCATTCAATTAGTTTTAATATTTTAGTCAACTTCAGTGTTATTCAAATACCCAAAGTACCTACCCTTTTGTGGTATTTGTCTGTTCAGAGGTCGTCTAGATTCGGTAGTCATAAGTTTGAGTTGTTTAAATTCTTTGAATTAAGAATTGGTTATCTTCTGCTTTTATTTCAAAACGTATTCTTGTGGAACTTTGCACTCATTTTCATCTGATTTCATCTCAAATTTTTAATTCAGTGAAGCTAATCCAATATAGTAAGTAATATGACACTTGTTATATGCCAGACTACATCTGTAGCAAAAGCAGTTGCTCATTGAATTGAAAATCATATGTAATATGTGGCAAACTGATCAAGTGGTTAACTATGGTTTGATTTTGCTATGAACAATAATGTGGTTAGTGGCAAAGTTTCGATAACTGATTTGTTTATCCGATGTAATGTATACGCGAGGTTTGAAAAAGATTCTAAATCACGTACTGTGAATCAACTACCTGGCTGGTACACGATGATTGCATTTATGTGATAATATAGTGAAGCAACCAATTTAGTTATATGACAAAAAGATATTCAATATCAAACATTAGATTGATTTAGGACGAAAGGCACTATGTTGGTATATATATATATATATATATATATATATATATATATATATATATATATATATATATATATAATATCCTCTTAGTTATCAACGAGACATACTTGGTAATGTGTTTTAATTTGGGGCTTCCAACGATTTCCGACCGAATATGTTACATCAACTTACTCCCTTTGAACTAGTATCAGTCACTCAAATGTGTTCCCAAATAATATGCGATTTCACATATTTCCCAAAAAAAAATAAATTCAAACTAACATTTTGTAAGTTGCCAATAAAATTAAGAGAAAATATCACAGTGGATGACAGTAGGTCACTAATCGCATAAGGATGTAGATAAATATTGCTCAAATAGTTTGCTCGCAGTGCAGATTTTTATGCTTACTGAATTAACTTCCTGCACAGAACTTGCACATAATTTTACTATCCGTTATTCCTCTGGAACACTGTACTAACAAAATAGACAGTAATCTAACAGCGACTGGTGGTTATATCTTATTGCTTATAATGCTGATGACCGATACCTGTTGTCTTGACATGGTGGTCGGGGTTGGGTATCACAATGACCTATTTACTGTGGATGACCAGCAGTACCATGCTGATGCCACCTTCCCTATGCAAAGAAGGTTAGGAAAGTTCAGCCATAAAAGTTGTACACTCCTTACCCTGCGATCTTCCAGTGTTGGCGATATATATATTTTATGTCCTTTGTTAATAAGATATAATCTCAGTCTAACAATTCTAAGCGGCTAGTGTGTGACAAACCTCAAGCAGCTGTCCCATGGCCTCTGTGGTCACGCGAAAGTATTTCTTTTCTCTCAGGTATTTTACAGAAACAACTTCCACAGCGTTGGGAGCAGGGAAGTACCAACCACCTGCACGTTTCCAGTAGTATGCGAAACCCAGACAGTCATTAACTACCCTTCTCATTTTTGCTTCTTCATTTACCTTCACTTTCTGATCCTAGTATTGAGCATTTTATAACTTTTTCAACCTCATATCCTGCAGACATTGCTAGCAATCGAAGCCAGCGAAACATTTCTAATCAACTAAAACCGCGGTGTTGATTTCACATTGGTACTTTCAACTTCTGAACCCTATGCCAAATCCAACAGCAGATTACTTGCCAAGACATTTGAGATCTCGACTGATGGATGTATGATGTTCCTAAGACACGCGTGCAGGACCTGAGTGTAGTTGTTCATCTGTGAACTGGTGTAGATATATCATTAATTTGTAGAGTAGAAAGTGCACTTCTTGACTGAACACCAGTAAACAGTCATCCATACTGCTCCACTGAGTCGATCTGTAAGAACTAGGAAGGGTGGAGAGACTTACGGATGCCTACTTATAATCTCCACGTATCTGCCCACCGAATACAGTTTGGATGATACAAAAGATGTATTCTATCAAGAGCTATTCATTTTACTACCTAAAGCAAAACAGTCATATATAATAACTTTGACTATCATGACCAAGTAGGGCAACTGAGCCAGTCAGAAAGGCATCTGGGAAGTATCTACAAGATCCCATGCCAACTAATCGATAATGGCATCAGCTTTTGTAATTTTGTTCTGACAATCACTTGTTCTTTGTCAGCACTAACTTCAAACGTAAGATGAGATTGTCTCATTTGGTGTCCACTAACATCAAACCAACATCGTATTACTATATTGTTTGTACAATGCCTAACTGGAACTCGTGAATGGCAGATTTGTGGGAACCAGGCAGGTTTGGGACCTGGATGAGGTTTTGTCAAGCAGATTTCCACCCTTCGTCAAATCCTCGAACATCGGCTTACTTATCAGCCGCCGAAACTTGCCATATTTACTAAACTAAAGACGGTATTTGACTCTGTTGATGGAGAGTTGCTATGACAGTGTATGACTATGAGAGGAGTACGGAGCAAGTATGCAGAACCAGTCGAAGTTCTCTACTGGAACTCACCCAGCCATGTGAAAACATGTGGAGAGTCGTCGTTTGAAGGGATGACAACCAGTGGTGTCCGTCAGGGATACCTGTTCTCATCGTCCCTATTTTGCTTCCTTATATATGTGTTAATTGACTTAACCTTAGATACGTTTGACCTATTTCCTGGAGGTTATGGGGTTGACTGGGAGTACGTAGACGACGTTGTCTTGTTATATGAATACGCTGACAAAGTGTAGGGTTTTCTAAACGTGTTGAGCAGAAATCTGTGTGTTTGGTATGCGCTCCACATCTGCCAAATGTAATCCGATGTTTCGGCCCTGGTCATCTGCTACTTCCAGTTTAATGATAGGAAGTGAAGTTTTTGGAATCGCCGGCCACTTCATTTACTTGGGGTGTCATGAGCCCGAATGGACTGGTTGTTGAAAAAATCTCAGCTCATTGATTTTGGGAGTTGACTTTCAACCAGTAAGTCGTTCTGCCTATCGACGCCTAGGTAGCTAAGTGGTATCACTATACCTCACACAAAACGTGTGGCCCATTGGCTGCTGCACGAAAGGGCACTAATGCGCTAAGTAGAGTTTGATTCGATATTTTGGGATACATAAGGTTCGTTTAGCATTTTTCAGCTTGGATCATCTCGGGCTGGTGAGATATCTAGCTGTCCCTTAAAAAACGAGTATACTGTGCTGTGGTTCTCTTCCTGTTATACAGCTGTGATATATGCTGGTTAAGATTAGATATGTGAAGAGATGTAACGAGATCACAGGTTCATAACCATGGGTGTCTTCTCGGCATTGTTCATATCTGGTGAAATTAGCGTGTGAGCAATGTTGAGGTTAGGCGAAGCTTAAGTCGGTGGGGCTATGAACCTGCAGTGTCTGAGGTGGCTTGGATATGTATTATATATGCTGAACCACCCAAACCTCTATATGCTGTGTTGACCGAAGTAGGATTATTTTTGTAGAAGGTTCATGGTGGTCAGATGAAGACGTAGCGCCAGTGCATGAAGCTTCTGACTGTTGGTCTTAGACATGTAGGTAGGGGGAATATAGATTGCTTTGTTATTAGTGGTTGGAGACCCTTAATGACATGTTTTTAAGTTAGTTACACTAGTGAAGATGCATTCATTCTTTGATGTTTTCTAAAGTTTGACCATTTTTTACTGACCTCGATTTTCAAATCCCTTCTTCTATACACCTATATCAACTTAAATGTCACCTTTTGTACCTACTTGTTTCCCTGCTTCTGTGAACTGACGCAGCTTGGAGCGATTCACTTCTCTGTGAGGTTCTATGTTGATTTTGTCTGCTTGTCGATACTGTTACTCTTAACATTATTTAGATTCTGGAAGGATTTCATTTTCAATTTTAACGAAAATATATAGATTCCATCCTAATATAAATGGGCTTTTATCTTTATTAAGAAACACACCCAGAATCTTTTGTGGTATACACACTATTTTGGAAGGACAAGGGATAAAAACTGCGTACGGCTTTTATGGAGTATCGGAATTTGTGTGCTTTTGCGGTCGCGTCGAAAAATAATACCATATTTTCTGGTACTCAAATTATTTATTTGCTAAAATTTAACAAAAGTTGGTAATAGACAGTATTTTTCTTGAAGGTCCAAACACCTTACGTCGTTATCTGTACTATATGGTCTTAATGAATAACTGTCACGGCTTTTTTTTGAGAGTGTACAAGGGAAAAGGTGTTTAAAATACATTTATGTAGTGTGTTGATATACTTTTTTTATACCGTTCTGTATATGTGTATCTAATTTTCTTGTTATTTGTAGTCAGCTCCACATCGATTTGGTTAGGCAAATTAGCTGGTTATTTGGTGAGCTTGTCTGTAAAACGGTGCCATCCAGCATATCGCTCTCTTCAGCAATTAAATGAAGACGTAATGAATGAAGTCATACAGTCACGAAGTCGTCATCAAAGTCGTGGTTCATCTATTCCTTGTAATACCAGTATACCAGATGGTTTAAACACTATAGAGGGTAATGGACCTCATGGTATCAATGGCAATGGTTGTGGTGCACACTCGGGAACACCGTCACCAATGAGCCTATCTGAAACAATTGAACTTGATGGTATGTCTTTTTTTGGCTCCAGATAAGATAAATGGTGATATGATTTTGCTTGTTCGGATCTTTTTTGAGACGTAACTAAAACTAATCTGATTACTGTTCAATATATGTCTTAGTACCTGACCTATGACACTAACCATTTTTAAGTATAGTGAAATTATTGTCTATGTGGTCCTAAAAGTGATCATTTACGTCATTCGAATTTTCTGGCTTTACAGAATGAATCGAGCTAGATCTAATGTCTATATTTTATTTATCTCACATTACTGATATTTTAGGTATGAACATCGCACTTTTTTGGGTAGTTTCATGGTTGCCTGATTGGTCAATAGATATATCTGCGCTGAGATATTTAGATAGCCTGTGGGAGTGATCACTTTCGGTAAGAGCTGTGAATTGTATTCATGTATGATTTGCTAAAGGAAAGATTCGAATTCCAGAAAATGTGACTCGGCGAAGAAGTAACCGTTCACATGCAGTTCCGGAGCGAAATGTGTTTTCTGAGTTCTGAAGTAGTATGTGATTGTCCTACAGAAGTTAGTGATAGGGACATGACATCAACTGTTGACTCCATGTCCGGTAAGTTCACTATTTGTCCACTACGTGGTATATAGATGTTTATTGTCAATACAGTTAATTGTCGAGATTTCAACCAGTACCAAAAGAAGCTTCTAAGTAGTATATTTCACTGTTTTTTTTGGGATTTTTTAACCGATTTTGAGGTGAGAGACTTCTCAAAATTCTAGTACTTGTTAATAGTTCATATATACGACAGTTATAGTCAACTGACACGAACATGTTACGTATGCTTAAGTCGCATTCCGGATGTGATTATCTTCTTAAGCGATGCAATACAACTTCTCGATTCTGTTCAACATTTTTTAAAGTCCTGTTTTCATAAACTTTATTTTTCTACTGAAACCCTTTATTATCTATGCAACATCGTACCACATCTGAAATGTCATTTATCCAGGTATCCTACAAATATTTATTCACTCCGTTACCTATTACATTGTGTAGTTATTTACTGGCATTAAAAATAACAACTACACTCCGTAGTACTGTAAAAGAAATATAATTGGAGCTTTAGTTTTCGAATTTTTATTGTAAATGATTGGTCATAACCCGTGTTTCAACTAGGAGAATTTTCTTACTTGATACGTTTTCCGAAGGTATTCATTGGGGAAGAGGAATACATAGATAGTGTTTATTTTTCAGCTCTTCATTATTAGTCTTTGTGTCAGATTTATCATCTATTTGGGCTTGATATGCCTATATCCTGATATTTTCTATTATGAATTGATTTCTCGTTTTTCTTTCAATCGTATGTCCACTGAATTAGACGAAGTGAGTCGGACAATGACAGCTAATTCTGCTTTATGCTTGGCACGTGCTGCTGCCATCGCTTCTGCACATGAGTCATTTAGTGGACAAGTTTATCAAAGTGAATTACTGTGCTGTGGTGGTTCTGGTACAACCCAGGATTCTCCTTTGCGTATGTTAGAGGCCAGATCTGGTTTTGGGGTTGGACAGCTGACTTGTGATTCTAAGAGTCACATTATAATTGTTGGTGGTTATGCACGTAAAGGTTGTTTGGATAGTGTAGAATTATTTACTGAAACTAGTAATGATCGCGAACTATGCAGAGATGAAGATTCTCCTGTATGCTCATCTATTCCTGGTCCGCGGTTAACAAAGCAAAGGGGACGACTAGCTGTAGTATCCAGTTATCTACAATCATATTCTGACTATCCAGATGTAGTATATGCATGTGGTGGTTCTACAGGTTCCAAGGACTTAGCTTCTGTAGATCGGTGAGTTATTGTATTTGACTTTATATCTTAGATGTTGCAATAACTTTTCTTTGAGGTTTGTATTTATCCATGTTTAGATATGAATGTTGATTTGCTCAAATAGCTGTTTCATACGTACATGATAAGTAATCGGTTATCTGAAAATGTGAATTTTCATCCATTTAGTCTCCCTAGTGAATTTTCCTTAAGTGGAACAATAGTTGATATGCCTAACACAACTGTATAGTCGTTCAATGTTTGTCTTAGTTACATTAGAGTGTAAATTAAGCAGTTGTTTGACATTGAAACAAAAGGTTAATCTTTGCTTTTCACATTAGTTAACTGTTTGTGTGTGTATATACGTATTTATGTGAGGTAAGCGTAATGTTCGGGCCTGCCAAATTGAGAGAAAAGTTCAATTCCTGTGAATAAATCAGTAAGTAGGAGTTTATAAGATAACCGATGTGGTTTTTGCATAGTACAATAGTTTATTTAATGAAAGTATCGGTTATTTTTTTACATCACACATAAACTTGGCAAAGTATGAACACCAAAGAAATGCTTCTGAAATTTTTTGTTTCTTAGACAGGTTTACTGTTTTTATACCTAAACAGCTTTAAACCAGTAGAGATTAAGTTCTTGTAATGTTTATTTTTCAACCTCTTGTTGATATCACAAGATGGTTGCGATTCAATCAAGTTACTCAATTTTCAACTGATTACCTGATTTGTTTTTACGGTCAAATATTTCTGTCTTATTAATATTTTCCAAGCGTTAAGTTCATTGAGAAAGGTGACATGATTTACTTGAATTACTTTATGACCTTAATAAGGATGTTTGGTTAGTTAAACATGCATTCAAATGTTTGTGCTTCGTGGACAAATATCAGAAGTGTCACAAATTTTTATCCATCCGGGTTGCGACATTTTACATCAGCTTGGTATGCGAATTGTTTTATTGGAGAAGAATAGTTTTTTACTAACTACATTTAGTGAGTGATTAAAGACTTAAACTTGAGAAGCGACAAAACTATCTCTGCGTCTACATGCTTCTCTTGTTTCAGTATTTTCAATCATCTCGACCGCTTAAAGCTCAACAGTTGGTTTTCTCTTCATTGAAAAGTCTTGGTCAAATAAATTTGAAAGTAATGAGACGCTTTTAGTTTATTAATCAGTTAGTCAGTAGTCGTATGGAACCTGAAATCAATGCATGAAAGTCAAAATTTGACAATAATTTTCGAAACCAAATTGTTTACACGTTTCACTTTTACGCTGTAGTTTTTCTTTTTCAGACTGACTTGTGATTCCCTGAAATCTTGGCTCACCAGTCAGGAAGTAACAAGGAGCTATCACAACGATTTCGATGATCATATATACACCAACGGCTCTCAAAGGATTTCGCAAACAGATTCAATCATACACAATCATGCAACAAATGGATCTGGTTTGGCAGGTGTATCGTTTTGGCATACTATAAAGAGTTTGCATGAAGCTCGAACTAACCCAGTTGCTGTGGATCTAAGTCATCTTCATCAGGGACCACTTATATCAAATTCGAACGGATCTATTCTTGTTGCTGGTGGTTTGTCGGGTGCACAGTATTTGTCTTCAGTTGAGGCCTATATCCCAGACAGAGATGAGTGGGTGTATATGCCGCCAATGTTACTAGGTAAATGTTATCTTATGGTGTGTAGTTGTCAATTTGTTCCACTAAAGCACGTCACTTCGTGAATACGTTTGGAAAAGTTCCGTGTAGTATTGGGTCTATTTGATTTAAATATTGCTGTATCTAATATGGAGTTGTAGCCATTGAGCTAGGGAAATGACTTTCAGCCGGTGGGTCACGAGTTCGAACACCGCAACCAGATAGTATCATCAGCCCTCACTCACTAGGTGGGCTCTTTGCCTACTGCACCAGTGTGCACAAGGTAGCTGGGTGGATTTCGATTCGATATTCTTATCAAAAAGACTATGTTCATAAGGGGATTTGGATTAAGTTGGAAGAGGGTTCAGGGTGGCTAGACCGAGATGTGACACCAGTTGATGAGGTCCCTGACCATTGGCGCGAGCCGTGTTGGGAGATGTAGACCACCTGGCTAGGGTTCCTGAGATGATAAGAATCAGCGGTTGAGAATTCTTCGTGATATGACTGAAAATTAGTCACAGTGGAGCGGATTTATTCACTTCTTGACATCTAAAGCTTGAGTATTTGCAGTAACTGTTGTCTTTAGATTGTTTATTCTCTCACACCAGTTTGTCTACTGGAATATCGCTCTTTTCCCTTCCACCTGTTCTGTATATCCTGCTATGAAGTGTGGTAATTTGAGCGGATACACTTGTATGCGAGGTTCCACGTCGATTACGCTTGTCTGTCGCTATGCACCTCTACAGAATAATCTGTCTCTCTTTCGATATTCCACTCAGTATGATGTTTGTAAGTTACATCATTGTAATAGTTGGATTATCTACGAATTATTCATGTTTGTGCACTTGGCAATGAGCCACGCTCCTTATGTTAGTGCTAGGGATACTATCCGACTACCCAAACCTTATGTTTGAGACTAATCTCTTGGTTGAAAGTCAGCTACCTAGATTATTGAGTTGCAGTTTCTCAGTTTGAGTGCTTCTATTTTCATGAACGTAAGTAGCACTAATAAAATTTCTGTTTAAACTTCGGTTACAGCAATCATCATGAACAATTTTCCTAGTCTGATCGAGAAATGATTATTTTTCGTTTTGCGAATAAATACGTCTCAGTGTAATCAGTGTTAAATTTTATCTACCAGGATATAAACTGAATCTAAGATACGGCGGGCGAATATACTTCTTACTGTTCACATTTCAGCTGATACATGGAACTGCATTAATTAGTAGTTAATTAAAAGTAAATTACGCAAATCACGGAAAAAGGGATTACCAATCAGTTTCTAAATTCAGTGGAGTAGAAATACGAAATTCAAGATCATATCAACGAAAATTCTTGTGGTTAAATTCAGACTGAAAAAAGTCAACATGTAACCAAAAACCTGTCTTCATTGTTGCAATCATTTACAATATACCTTTATCATTTATGTAGGTATGCTTCACTCACGAATCGGTGATGATTAGACCACATATTTTGATATCTCAAAGCTTTTGAGTGTTATCTCATCAGTTTTAAAGTAATCTTTCTAGGTTAGTCTCCACTGACTTATAGTTTGAAGGCAGAGTGTGAATTGGTGGAATGTGTTGACCTAATGGGGTGCTTGCTGATGAAATCTCACCTCAGGTACCAAAGTTGCTACCCTGTTCATGGTTTCTACTAGACGTCTTGCTGCATGATAAAGGAAATGCCGCACAGCAATCATATCTATCTTATGAAATAACTGAAAGTAGATCTTTTCATTCTGAGCCTACCTCAGCCAACATTGTGCGACAAAGTAGATGTTGACTAGACAGACATGCATGACACATGTGAGCTGATGAAGGTTCACAACCTTATTAACCGACTTGTCTTGTTTTCCTAAAGCTCTACTCTGACACTGTGACATACAGCCTACACTGCGAAGACAACGGTGGTCCAAAACCCGAAGCCTCCTCGTATCCTTTGCCTTTGATGGTCATGTTTCACAGCCAAACAGCACAATAGAATGGAGTGCAGCTCAGTACACTCGACTTTTAATGTGGAATGGGATACCCAGGGGCGTCGCAGATGGCGTAACTTGGAGAAAGCCAATATAGCCCTTTGAATCCACCTAGAGATTTCATGGGCCACTGACTCAACAGGACTTATCCGAATTTTGAGGTAACTAAGGTGCTCAACGCACTCAACCACTTTCGTCTCTATTGTTAGCTGGGGCACCGCTGAATACCGATCCTAGAGGAACAAATTACATTTGGGTGATGAGAAACATGCATCCCACATATTCTGAAGTTGCCACTCAGTGTCCAGAAAACTTTGCTGGACTATTCCATCTACATAGTCTAGATCTATCCAGGATTCTCCTGTGATCATATCGATCTCTGTGATGTCAGATTGTGAGAGGGAGACCTCCATAGAAACGTCTATGACAGAATTGAACAGGAGTGGAGAAAGTGGGTATCCTTGGCCCTCACCACTTGATAAACACAATTCGCCTGACAACTCATCATAGGCTCTAACACGCCCACGGGTGAATATTATAAAAACTTTTGAACCACTGCGTACAACTGTAGGAAACCCTTAGTCGGTTACGTGCTTGTTTGGCGAGGAAATACCGTTAGTCACTGTTTAACAGGTTACTTGTAGTGCTTATTATGATGTGAGTAGCTCATATTCATTCTTAAGCCCTGACATGGATTTTTAAAAAATGTTTTACTTCTTATGTGACGCTTTATTTTAATCGATAGATTGGCCTTCATTGATACTTGATTATTTCGTATATTGCTGTGAGTTATCATGTTTCCTATTTCTTACCTGATCGTCTAAATAGGTCGACGGGAAGCTTGTGCTAATGTTTTGCCTACACGTAATCTGATCGTTGTTGTTGGAGGAGCAGTAATCGCGAATAGTACATATGCAACCGGTCCAAATGTGACTGTCGAGGCTTAGATCCTCGTTGTGCTACCTGGTTCTATATTCCGAATCCGTTAGCAAATACTGTTGGACAACTTCGTAGTGCCAGCCTGACATATTGCCCAAATGTGAAAGGTAAGAATTTGTTGTTGTGACTTATGCGAAACTGATGATAGAAAACTGATAATGTCATAATCCCCCTTTGGTACTGAAGAAACCGAGAAAGCAGCAGTGCAATGTTTGCACGAGTACTAAAACTGTTGTTATGACTTTTTGTTTTACTAAACCATTCAGTAATATTGGATGGCTTTGTTAAAAATATACTCCGCTACTGAATACTGTATTTGTGTTTTCAACACCGTATTCAAATGCCCTATCTTTGTATGGTGGCAAGTTAGACCATGGTAGTGATTCTTCCTGCTTGTATCGAAATGAGTGAAATCTTGTTTATACATTTCCTCTAAATTCCATGCTTATCACCTGTTGTATAGTAGTCGAGATGATCAAAACTAATTGTATACGATCCTGATTATTTTTACATTTGATAATTTTGATTAGGCCAATACGTAAGTAAGGAATATATCACTAATAGTTACAGTCATACCTTCGATGGGCATATTTTCTCACTCCTGACTTGGGGAATCTTCATAGTTACGGTTCTTCTTTTGGACTTCAGGGGGCCCATTTACACTGACTAAAGTATTTCCTAAATCCTTTGTATGAAAATGTAACATATGGCTTGACTGTACTAAGAAGTTATTAAATCTATGCAGAATTAAGCTTATCTATAGGTTCACTTTCTACAGGATGTCAGACCGAATTTGTGAATTTCGTTTCCTCATATCGTATAAGTAACAACGACATGCATTTTTTGTGCTTGCTTATGTTTGCATAAGTTATTTTTATCCAATTAATCTTTTCTGTCAACATTAATCTAGTTTTACAGTTCACTACCACTTATAATTCCATCGTTATATAAATTCTACAACATTTATCATTAATTGTTTTGTCTTTGTTGTGAAATAGCATCAAATTATTTGTTGTCGATAAAAATTCAATGATAATTTAAAGGGAATAAACGGAGTTTGTATATAAGATGTAAACATATTGTGCATTTATAGTCTCATTGTTTTCTATAGTTATTAGCTTCTTGTTTTTTCTGGCTTATTGTAACCCACATTTTTTTGTTTTATTCATTTTGCACTTTTCGTATCGTATGTGCCTCTTTTGAAATGTTCAAGTTATTCTATGTATCATTAAAATTTTTAAGTTATAAGCATCAATCTGAAACTATTGTTGGAAAGGCTATCCCAGGTGTTTGAATTCATGAACCAATAGACTGTAATGGATCAGTGAACTTGAAAAGAAGCCTTTTTAGCTTGTGAGGTGTACATTATAATTATGATTAGTATTAACTAGAATGGATTATGGTGTACAAGGTATTGTAGAACTGTATTTCATCGTTTTGTGTATTTTACTTCTAATCACTTGGCGGCAAGTTAGACCTACTGTTCGTTTAAAAAGTAGCCGTCAATCATATAACTACCGCTAACTCACACAACGTAGTTGTGACTCATCCTCTAGTGTATTTGCAGAGTTGGGTGGTGGACAGTATACCTGACTTACCTTTAAAGGACTTAAATGTAGAATACACTCATGGGATGTTAGAAATACATGGTAGTATAATGGAAATCTATTGCTATAAAAGGGCTATATATATTCTCATATGATATTCGTTTCATCTTAAGGGTATATCTTAATCACAAGGTTAAAGAAGATAGCATTCAGAAAATGTTAATTAAGGCAGTAGATGATGGAGAATTTTATATGAAAACAACTAGCATTCAATAACAGTTGCCCTTAACCTATAACATCAGTTTTCTGATGTTTCAGCTGCCAATTTTAAAAGCTTCATGTTATTGTGGGAAAATAAAGCAAGTTTGATTTTTCATAGCTGCTTTTGAAATTGTCTAATACTTTAGTGGGAAATATCATTTATTCTGTTTTCTGATCAACAGAACTTATGTTCGTCTTGACGTTTTCTTGCGATTGAATATTTCGTTTTATTTTATTCATTCATGATTTGTAGATAATTTGTTATTAGTCGGTGGTTATAATGGTCAAGAAACCTTGAATACTACCTGGATATTTGACTCTGCTGCTTGGAATTGGCGTTCTGGACCAAGTTTGCTATTTCCTCGTTCCAGTTGTAGTGCAATACTCACTTCAGATAAACGATGTAGTTTAATATTTGGTGGTTATAGTCCAGGAAAATCTCCGTGTGGATTCTTGGATACGATTGAAATGATTTTTTGAGCAGTTTGATTGACAGATTACCCATCAGATATTTGGTGGATCTCTCTTCTATGTTTTATGAATAACAATACCGGTTATTTTTTGACTGTATTATATACTCTATGTTGTGCATGTATGCGTGCGTATTCGCTTCATTTATAGAGATACTGATCAATTTTGTTTCTCATTACTCTTTTGTTTCCAAGCAATTAATACATTCTATGAATCTGGATGGCTTTATGATAAACATTATTGTTTCATCAGGTGCATCCACATACATACTAAATATCAGCTTTTTATCCTTCTATTTCGTAAACATATTTTCATCCATCCTCTCATTTTACTCCCCCTTCTCTGTTTTTGGTTTGTTTTGATTGTTACGTATCACTTCACCATGTGTGATTCTCAGTGTATTTGTATTTAGCAACCAAGGTTTGCACCTGTAACTTGCACGTGCCTATGGTAAGGCCACTGGTATTGTTGAACATCTTTGTTACTGCATCGTATTTGTATGCCTAAAAGTATGTACACGAATAACCATTTCACCAATATATATATATATATATATATATATATATATATATATATATAGTATTGCGTACTTTGTTACGTCATTTTCTTAGCAGTTTAATTATTGTTGTTGCAAGGTGTCACTAACTATATCAAACACTGTAATTAGACGCAAAAGATCTCAGGACCAAATACTGCTGCACTTACTGTGACCTGAGCAACCAGTTGGCATCATAGACTCTTCCGCAATAGTTGTGGCTCCGTAGCCTAGTACACAAATATGTACGGCATCAATTTGTATTGATTAACTAATAGCTTAGGAAGCAGGTGGTATGGTTGCTAATTGGAGACACTTAAAGCTTGTTCGTGCCGGTAAGTGTTTCGAGTGACATATTGTAGTGGAATTGATTCATAGCGAGGAAACAAATAATCTAACAATTTCCTGGCAAACTGTATGGATGATGAGAATGTGTGTTTTTTTACCACACAAACTTCTCGGAAAAACGAGAAAAGAATGTAATCATGAATATTGAGTTATTATTACTATTATTATTTTCCCCTTGGGTTCCTAGTGGAACATAGGGCTTAAGTAGCACTCTTCCATTTCACTTTCTTCTCTGCAGTCTTCTCAATCTGGTGCCACGACTGCCCACAAGCATTCATTTTTTCCTCACATGGTCTCCTCCATGTCACCCTCGGACGCCCAACTCGTCGTTTCCCCTTTGGATTCCACTCGAGGACTTGGCCTGGTGCGTGATGTCCTCGAATGATCTCAGTGTATCCCCAATCCATCTCCACTTTACTCTGCATATTTATTGGGTGATGGGTCCTTGGTTGGTTCGTTCCCAGAGTTTCTTGTTGCTTACTCTTTCTGGCCACCTGACCTTCAGTATGGAGTGAGCGTAGGCGACAGCTGTTGTTGAGTGTCTGTAGTTTGTTGGAAATGCTTTTCGTGACACGCCAATTTTCTGGACCATCACATAGCAGCACTGACTTGACATTGGTGTTGGAAATCTGGATGTTGTTCTTTGTGCTGAGTGCCGTAGATCTCCACACTGATTTCAGATTAGTGAAAGCTTGCCTTGCTTTTCCGATCCTGGTTTTGACATCCTCGTCTGTGCCGCCTGTAGTTGAAACGATGCTACCTTGCCTAGGTAGGTGGAAGAGGCTACTTCCTTTAAGTTTCTCCCGTTGATGGTAATTGGTGTTTGTTGTTGGTTGGGTATCTTCATCACCTCTGTCTTCTCTACGTTCATTTGAAGTCCCGTCTTCGCTGCATCGCCTCTTCTGTCAACTTGTTGGTTTTTGCCTGTAGATCTTCGAGTTTGTGCTACAAGACATTAAATCATCATCGTTGGTGAAATCCAAATCTTCTGGGGTCTTTTCATCGTTCCAGCCAGCGTATGCCCATCTTCTCACTCCTTACGGTTTGCTTCATGGTCCAGTCGACTAGAATCAGAAGGATCATGGATGATAGTAGGCGACAACCTTGTCTTACTCCTGTCTTCATTTGAAAGGCATCACTGAGCTAAGCTTTTTATTGTGAATCACTCGGCACGTGGCATTGTCATATGGCTGTTGAATGAGTTTGGTAAAGGTTTGAGGCACTAAAACCGTAGTGTTGAAGCAGCAGCAGCAGCTGGCAAATTACTTTTCGGTCGACGGTATCGAAGGCCTTTTCAAAGTCGATGAAGTTGAGGTAGAGAGCTGACTGGCATTCTACGCGTTGAAATTTGGTGCGCACATGATTTGTACTTCCTGAATCCAGTCAGCCAGCCTGTTCCGGTCGTAATTTTGAATTCAGCGCATCTCTCTCTATCTCTCTCCAGGATGATGCGGCTTAATATTTTGCTTGGTGTGGGTGAACAGTAGCATGATTCTGTGCCAGTTATTGCAAACACTTAGGTCTTCCTTGTTTGGAAGTTTGACGAGGTAGCTCTTCTTGCAATCAATAGGCAGGTACCTTACCTTCCCTCCAAACCTTCCGCAATAGTGGTGTGAGTGTGTCCGCTGTTGTCTCTGTGTCTGTTTTCAGTGCTGCTGGCTGAATTCCATCTGGTCCTGATACTTCCCCAGATTTCAGCAGTTTTGTAGCATTCAGAACTTCTGCTTTTGTTGGAGGGCCTGTTTTGACGGGTAGTTCTGTGGCTGCAGATGGTATTTCTGGTCAAGTTGCAGGTGGTGGTCTATTCAAGAGTGGTCGGTCCATCGTTTCCTTTGTTTCCTCTTTGATAACTAGGTTACCTTGACTATATTTCATTGGTTTCGTCTGCGTTGATCTCTTTCCAGATAGCAACGTGGTTATTTTATACAATGTTGTCAAGTCTCTCTTACCAGCAGCTAATTCTGCTTCGCTTGCCAATGTGTCGTAGTAGTGTCTTTTGTCTTTTTGCGCGCACTCTTCTTCACTTCTTTGTCGAGTGTTTTATACGTTGCACTCAGTTCTTTTTTTTTGTTGTTCCTCCCTACACTGAATTGGTTCATCTTCTGCTTCAACATCTTCCTCTCCCCTATCAGCTTCCATCGAGATCCATTCCTTATCTTCTTTCTTCTTCCTTCCTAATACGGTTATGCAGGTTTCTTTCCACATCTCTTTCAAACAGTTCCAATGTCCCTCCAAGCAGGTTCCTTCACGGATGCTGCTCAGTGTCTCCTATTTTGTCCTGATGACTGACGTGAAGATGTCCTTTGAAGTTTAATCCTTCAGTTTAGTTTCTCTTCTGGGTGTTGTACTTGAACTGTGGCCAATCACCAACTTCTTCTTCGAAGGATTTCAACTTGATTTTGAAGGTAGGTTCCTTGCACCAGATAGTGAGTGAGTGGTGTGAACGTACATCTGCTCCCCTTCTTAATCTGATCTTGTGTCCAATAGGCTGCGTCTCCACTTTCTTGAGATTGAGATGAAGTCGATCTGATTTCTAGTGCAGTGTGTCCTGGTGTCTGTTGAAATCCATGCTGTTTTATGAATATCTTTGTGTTTGAACACACACTGTCTCTAATCCCTAAATCGCTGAAGACTCAGAAGTCTGCAAACAGTTCTCCATTCTCGTTTACTTTACCGAGTGCCTCTCGACCCATGATGAGATCTCTTCCTGTGTTGTCTGATCCGAGTTTGGTATTCAAGTCACCCCACCCATTAGAATTTTGATGTCACCAACTAGGATGGGGTCTTGTCCAGTACTGTTTGTAGTTGTCTGTAGAATTTCTCCTCCTCTTGATCTACATTATTTGTAGGTGCATGGCGTAGCATTGTATGATTGTGACTTTCCTTCCTTTTGAGTTGAATCCATCTTGGTGTCATGATCCTGATGGTGGAGGAGAATGGTTCCCATTGTATGAGAGCCTTCGATGCTGTTGGGGACATCATGGTAGCCACTGGAAAACTCAGTGTGCTCGTGGTTGTCGTCTGAGTGACAATATCGGAGTAGATTATTGACTCCTCCACAGTTGAGAGTTTGGAGAGTCCACTCCCATTCTATCTACAGATTCCTCACAGATTCCTAGCCTAGCACTTCTATGCTATACCTTCTCATCTCTTTCGCAATCTGGGCAGCCTTGCCAGCCAGCCAGCCAGCTTCAAACATTGTTCGAACACTCCATGTCCCCATCCTCACTTTCGCTTTCATCGAGGGAGAGAAGACACATCGGTCAGTTGGTTTCCCGAAGGCTTCCACCAACCGGCGTCATTTTGTTTCTCCGATTCGAGCGAGGAATAAGTTTGTTTTTATGTTTATATTTTCTCTGTACTTTGAAGTTTCTTTAGTGATTGGATTGGTTTTACGGAGTAGGGTTGCTAGCCCTATTCCCAACCTTTCCTCTTTACCAGTTCTTCGGACGGGCTAGTGACTAGTGAACTAGTCAGCCAGTCGAGGTTATCGAGTTATTAGTTCAGTTTTATGTAAGATTCTGAAGTACGTTAAGCTAATTTTCATGTTAACGGTTTTACTGTCTTGAAGTAATATCACTGGAGTAATTTTCTGGCCGATGTTTTTTATCTAGGCATGGTTTCCGGACTTGCGTAGGGTAGTCACCTAGAGAGTTTTGCTGGCTTGAACACTTGTTGCTCCAGGTCTTACTATGTTTACAGTATATACAAATAGCAGTCAGACTAAAAGCAGGTTTCGTAATAGTGTGAGTAACTTACACTATGATACGGCTAGGAGGGTGAATTTGTACTGTTGACTATAGGGTTTGTGGAGTGTGAAAGCAAAAAGGTGTTTCCTACCTCCCCTATTAAAAGAAGGGGTGCCAGTGGTGTGAGTTATTGTTCTGGTACGAGTGTTGGACAGTCAAACCGAAAACCATCGAAAATTACTGAGTCGAGTATTGGAGGTACTAGTTGGTTCATAAGATAGGAGAGGGGTCTTTGTTTTATGGTTACATTGTAATCAGTTTGACTAGTAGCACATTGAAATCCTAATGTCCATATTTTTACAACGCCTAACTGGAGGTCGAGAATAGCAAACTGGTGAGAACCCGGCAGGTTAAGGACCTGGATGGGGTTCCATCGA